GCATTTTCACAATGCATTGCACATAAAGTAATAAAAAACAAACATACAACTTCCTTTTCACCCACTAACTATGGCATCCTAGTTACAACACTCAGGAAAATCACTTTCAAGCAGTGATATAGATTTCCCTAGGCACTATTCATATGGTACAGTAGGGACATGTGAATGAGCTTCATCTACTCTATTGATGTCAATGTCACTTAGAGAAGGATGCCACCAATCTGCACTTATTTGCTAAATGGATATATCAAAATATCCAGCAAAATAACCCATTTTTTCTTCTAAATTCCAAATGTTCATTCAATAACACTGCGTGAGGAAGAGTGTCTCTAGTTAAACATCTCTTTTTCACCCCATGTGATGTTGCTAGCTCTTTCAAAGTTAGGATTGTGGTATTTGGTATCAAGAAAGAGTTTGAGAAAACCTCTTTGTAAAGGGTATTCATCATCAACTAAGTAATATTTGTTCAATATAATTATAATTATTAGTATTGCAGTAAAAGTAGCATTTTGTTCATATTGAAGAAAACATGAGGGTTGTTTCGAAAATTTGTATTTTTGATTTCATGTGGCAAATTTGGATATGCGGCTGTCACGTGCACTATCTTCCCATTCTGCCATATTAAAAGTGAAGTACATGTTAAAATTACAAGCAGTCATGACATTTTGTGTTAGTGAACTGCATCGCCTAATGAATATGAACTTTTCACTTTTCAATAAGCATGCAACTACATGTGCTCCATCAATCATTTTAATACAATCATAAAGCATTTAATAAAGGTATTTGAATTACTGTATTCAAGTAAATCCAGGAAATATGAACTCATGCATATATCTTAAAATATGGCATATAACATTTGTCCTGGGAAATCACTATAGGGGCCTTTTGGAATTTGGGGTCCTTGGATTTGATAAATTTTAATGATAAACTAACTAAAGCGTTTAACTCAATTAAAAAATATATACTGATTGTTTCAAATTAGTGTTGGAATTGCTTCAATGCTCCTCTCATAGATTCATTCTGTGATAAAATGAAGAAGTTTATGGCTAACACCGCTCTTGAAGTCATCTTGGAGGAGCCATGAAGCCCATGATTCTTATGTAGTTCTTCCAACATATCAATGAATATGAGTTTTGTTATATGAAATATATTTTTAAATCTTGTTGGGTTCCCTACAGGGAACATCCCAACCGACTTATCGCCTATGTATATGGATTTCATGCAAGGAGAGTGAGTAATATATGAGTTGTAGTACTCATACATTATGCATAACGCAGCTGCAATACTTCTTCAACGTATTTCTATATCCATTCTATTCATTGTTTATGTAGCTTCCACATATTAATAACTCTAATTTAGCTAGAACTAGAACAACAATAAACAAAAAAGTAATGATAAAGAAACTTCAAAAAGTAATTAAGATGCTATAGTACTTGTAAATATGTACCCATAAAAATGATAAAGAAAGAGTCTAAGAAATAAAACCAAAACATATTAAAAGTAAAATGATATTCATGCACCCAATTTTTTTGGAAATAATTTAAATAATTGACCCTACGGTCACGGGTTATTGACATAAAGAACTCTCTATAGGTTGGGCTTTCAAGCAACTTCTTAGAGAACAATTACAACGTTATGTCCTCATAAATTTATAGAGTTGCTTCTAAAATTCATATTACTTGTTGAATATATTTGCTTGTGATATGTCAGGGCCATTGGTGCATGAAGGTACTAACTGTGAAATTTGGCTTCTAATGAAAACTGCAACTTCTTTTTCTTTTTCTCAACCCTAGGATGCTTGGATAAACTAGTAGATTCAACTTCATTGAGATTAGGGCTAGGGCATTCATTATAATAAGTAGTTTGCTTGGCATTCTCACAAGCTCACCTATCCGAGTAAATCATCCTTGCTCGGGGCCCATGCATGATCATCCGTGGAAACGACTCCACTAAAGATATGATCTAACTTTTGTTCAAGTTCAGGGTCAATTCTACTAAATTTAAATGTTTTAGCACTTGGCATAACCTAAAAACTAATGTATTGTTCATATGTTGATGTAATTGCAAAAAAAAAATGGTAAATGACTTAAGATTTCATAAATTTTCACATTCAATCTCTTGGCCCACCATTCTTCAGAAGTATCAATAATTCACTTTAGCAAATCCCAACCCAGGTCTGTAGATCCTCGTTTCATCTTTTTTTTCAATTGCATCGTATCATATTCATTTCCTGTGCTTTCATTGAACTTTTTTTATTATATTTTGCCAACCCTCCTAGTTAAAATAGGTGGTTGGCCTATTTCACAATTCTACCTCAAAAAGGTAGCGATCGCAAAATATGAGTTTCACATATTTATCCCACATGGCAGATAAATTGGTTTATTCTCTTAATCATAATAATACTACCATGAAAGGAACAAATCAACAAAAATGTGTAGCAGAGAAAAACAAAGTGTCATTTAAAATACTAAAACTAAAAAAGGTAACTATAAAGAAACATTTGAAATGTATACACAAGTTACCCATAAACCAAGTCACCAAAAAACCACCAATAACGCCCCAACCATGTCACCAAAAACCATCATCTACACCATTACCACAAACATCACCATCAACACCAACAACACCGTGTCACCCAAAAACCACCATAACATCCACCACACCGCCAACAAACTACCAACACCACCACCATCATATCACCAAAAAACTACCACTAACATCCACACACACCACCAACAAACCACCAATAGCACCACAATCATGTCACCAAAAAACCACCATAAACACTATCGCTACAAAAACCACAACCATGTCACCAAAAAAGCACCTTCAACATCCACTCAACATCCACACACACAACATCCACACACATCACCAACAAACCACCAATACCATCATCATGGCACAAAAAAGTACAACCAACATCCACACACACTACCAACAAACCACCAAAAATACCACCATGATGACACAAAAAAACCATCACCAACATTTACACACACCGCTAGGGCTGTCAAATAAGCTCGTTGTTCGCGAACAATTCATGTTCGGTTCGTCAATGAGCTCGTGTTTGATTTGTTCGATAAGTAAACGAGACGAACGTGAACAAATTTTTTTCGTTCGGGTAGTTAAACGAACCAAACACAAACAGTGATGCATTCGCTCGTGTTTGAATGTTCGAATTATTATTGTTCGAAATATAAAATAACTTAAAATAATTATAATAAAAAGTTTATGATATTTTAAAAAATTAAATTTTATAAATTATAATATTTAATAAATTAATAATAGTAATATATTAATATACTATATTATGAACTAAATTTCAAACGAACAAAATACAAACACAAGCTCTGTTCGTTTGTGTTCGGTTCGTTTACACCCCTACACACCGCCAACAAACCACCAACAACACCACCACCATGGCACGAAAAATCATCACGAACACCACCACTGCAAACATCTCCACCACTATATCACAAAAAAACCATCACCAACATTACACACACCACAAAGAAACTACCAACACCACCACCACCATGACACCAAAAAAATAACCACCAACATCTACACACGCCATCAACATCACCATCATGGAACCAAAAAACTATCACCTACACCACCACCACAAACATTACCACCTACACACCATCACGTCACCAAAAAACTACCACCAACATCCACACACGGCACCAATAAAACACCAACATACCATCGCTAAATCTAACAAAGAGGGCAAACCTACCACAAACCATAATAGAAGAGAAGGCCACACTGGTATTGAAAAAGATGCCAGAAACTGCAATTTGAGCAAAGCAAGAAATTGCCAAGAGCATGCCACATAAAGAAAACCTGAAGCCACATTACTTTTAAATTAACAACAATTGTAGGGTTGGAGAATACCGTAGAAAGATATAGGAGAGTGCCACCAAAACTAGGAACCAGAGGGAAGGGAAGAAGAAGATAGGTTATGCCACCAGAACCGATGATTGAAGACAAGGAAAAGAGGAGAAGGGAGCTAGGGCACCAGAGACGAGAAACACGACAATAAAAACAGCACGGATGACACAAGTGAAAATAACGAGCCGCAAGGTAATATGTCCCGAACAAAATGTGGGTTGAAGAGTCCAACCCTCGGTCAGCATTTTGATGTGCCAATTCCAAGAAACCACCGCACCGCTCTTTCCAAATGCTCATCTCTTCATTCTCTTGCCGCACGACAACTGGAAAGCTAATCCAAACACACTTAGTGATGTTGGAAATTTCTGATATCATTATGTTTCTCCATATTTCTTTTATATATTAACTTTTCCTAGATTTATTTTTTTTACAAATGTACTTTTATTTTTTCACAATATTGTATATATTTTCCTTATTAATGTGGGTCTTAAATTTTTCCAAAAAAAAGATTTGGTTTTTTTTTAAAATTTTAAATGTCATTTAATTTATTTCAAGTAAAAATAAATAAAAATAGAAATAAAATAATGTTAATACTTTTAATACTTCTAGTTAAATAGCCCACCAAGATCAAATTTTCTTCCACCGCAAATTTTATCTTTTCCATTCTAATCGTGCATTGGTAAAGCGTCTGTCAAATAGTTGTCACAGGTATTTCTTTATGCATCCTTTGCAAGATGAATTTTGCCATTAATGATTGATCTTCATACTCATCTTTTTCTAAAAAATTAAAAATTTTAAAAATAGTAAAAGGTTTAAGAGCAGAAACACTATCAGGCAGTTTTTCAGAGAACAGATAGCTTAGAATTTCCTCAGTTTCTTACTACTGAATACAAGATTTCAGTGCCACCCTCAATTCTGATGAACTTCATTCAGTATCTATTCCTCAACTGCAGGATCTACCCACTACTTCTTATAAAAACACATAATATTCTCGACTTCTAAAGCATCCTTCTAGAAAATAAATTTAATAAACAAGAATCAATAGGATACTGAAGCGCAAGAAACAAAAAGAAATAATGGAGTCCGTGGCTGGGAGCAGAAACAAAAACTTAAATCTTATTAGTATACCTTTTTCAAAAAGAAAAAAATTCAAAATAGTACTTTCTACTCATCGAAAAACATAAGCAAGAAAAATACTAGTTAAGGTTCCCCACCACGTATGCACTAGAACATAGCAATGATCATACATTTGTGTCTAGGGTTTCATTGGTTGCATTGCTGAAAATTTTGGTTTTAAGACAAATGTAATCAGGCGTCGAGTTTTATACTCAGCAAGGTGGTAACAAGAGGGAGCTTCTCTGGTGCCCGTTCCTTGTAATCTTTAAGCAATGCTTCAGCAGCAAGAGGTTGGAGGTCAGCATTCTCTTTCTCATCTTTATTTCTGCCCTTCGTCAGCTGGTTGATGGCAACGCTACACTGGAAAAGACATTACACACACTATTAGTGATTGTGATGGAAGATGGGAGAAATATAGAGAATGAGAATTTAACTTACCAAGCATATGCCATACAAAGCTCTAGTGTTCTTGCCTCCTGTAAGCTTGATGGTTGAAGCATAGTACTTCTTGGCTGCTTGAAGATTTTCCAAGCCTCCAATGGTGTAGAGGACCTGGGAAGAAAGAGAGAAACTGATAAAATGCGAATATATATGTGTGGAGGTTTTAAGTAGAATTTATAGAAACTAATGACATTTGAATAAACAATTTTCATTGCTTGGTTGGTTGGATTCTCAAAACAGTTTCTATACAGAAAAATAGGCTGAGATTCTTTTGGGGGCTGACAATAGAGAAAGGAGTAGAATAAGATTAATAAAAATGGACCGAAAATATGGGTTTCTAAAAGCAAACATTTCATAAGTAAATAGAAAATATGTAGCACCGTATTTAGTTGCTTCAATTTTTACAACATTGTTAAAAAAATGATGAAAATTTTCAAATCTCACTGGTCACCGGTAGTAAAAAAGCCAACAATAATTTTTAGCATCACAAACTTTCTCGAAATTCCTAAAAAATAATGATATTCATTTTCAAATTCATAATGTGTGATAATGAAATCATCATTTTATAAAATATACTTATTTAACTACAAGCAATGAAATGAGCACTAAACTCAAATCTCACAGCTAATGCAGCAATTTATTTGGAAATTAAACAACAACAAAGAGGCTTTATCCCAGCAATTGCGGTCAGCTACAAGAATCATTTTTCTCCATTGTGTATCATATTTTCATTTAACACTAAATAGTACGCAATGGAGAAAAAGAATTCATGTAGCCGACCCCACGTAGTGGGATTAAGGCTTTGTTGTTGTTGTTGTTGTATGCCCGTCTTTTTAGATCTACCTCAATCTTTCTTAACATAAGTCAAATCTAAAACAACTATACTCTCCCAACTGAGTCATCAGATGGTCGTTATTTAATGTGGCCAAACTATCTAAAGCGGCTCTCCCTAATCTTGCTTGCCACTGGAGCTACTCCACCCTTTCACATATATACTTGTTTCGCATTTTGTCACTTGGTGTAAATTGAGCATTCTCATCTTAGCAAGATTAGACTTAATTTTATGCTTCTCTTTTACAACCCAACAGTTTGCACCATAAAGCATCGCATGTCTCACACCATCCTATAAGACTTTCCTTCAAATCAAAGGGATAATTTTCTATCACACAATAAGCTTGATACATTTCTCAGCTTCAACCATCCAACTTGACTTATACTAATAATCCCCATTTATGTCATCATCACTTTGAACGATATATACCCAAGATACCTAAAACTGTCACTCATTTTAATGACTTGATCACTCACCGTTATAACCCCACCACAAGATCTACTCTACTAAACTTACATTACTAGTATTCAGTTATTTATTTGGAAATATGGTGGAAAATTCTTTTAAGGCCTAAAAATTCGTTTAAGACAGATGCTTAAGAAGATGATAATGGGAAAGAAAAACGATGCATATTTACTTTGTAGTAAGATCTTTGGCTGACCAAATACCACTGCATACGGGGCCAACGCAAATGGGGCATCATGGAATGTTAAATAATTTATCAACACTAAAAGTGAAATTATTCTCACACCATAAGCGATTTTTAAGTAAAGAAAATATTCATAGGTCAATATGGGGGACCGCCCACTTATAGTACAACGGAAAAAAAAAACAAATGTCTGGACATTGTAGTTGATACGAGGGTCCCAAATAAACAAGGAAAATAATTTTAGAAATGATTACATTATAGTAGAGCTTTAGGGAGGTATAGAGAAAGTAAGAAACCTAGATGGTGACTTCATAAAGAAGGGCATCAGGTTTGCTTTGAGCCTCAACATACAATAAGACTAGGATAAAGCTGCTGAATAACTGCTTTTTTTTTATTCTCTTTTAATTTTGAGCGCTTGAACAGATTTCCCTTATTGAGTTTGATTTCAGTTTAAGCAAACCAAAAAAGAAGAATATTGCGGGCACTTATCTTCTTAATTTGTATATGAACCAAGGAAACATTTAGAAGTAAGAAAGTAATGAATGAGCCAAAGAGAACCCTTGTGACTGGCAGAAAAAATTAGTGTAAGAATTTGTGGCCTTCAATGCCAGATATAAATATATATATATATATATATAT